GTTACATGGAAAAGGGAGACCAACCCTTACCTCCCTGAAAAGGTTTGCTTGCTGATCACTGGTGACATTTAGTTAAACTAAGGTGCAAATCAGAGATTGGATTGTGAAGGGATTGTGACAACGGAGTCGAACTTTCAAAATCTCATGATAGTATCAGTTGGGATAAAATTACAACTTTCATTGGAATAATGTGTATTATATATTATTAACTTGCATTTTCTTATTAGAGCTAATCTGAAATTTCAAATTGGGGGCACCTGAAGAAAATGATTCACAATTTCCTTGTTAGGATGCATAAAATACAACTTCTTAATTTTTTGGAACATTTAAGATCACATACTTGACATGTACCATTTAAGTTACCCTGGTGTTTGAGGATAGCTGGGCATCTGAAATAGAACAACTCCAACAACGTGATCTTTGTGTTGTTAAAACGGGATTTAAGTTTTAGATTTGTTCTTGGTAAAAACCTAGCAATTCAAATGCAGGTGACTCTTATGAACCAGTTTTTGTGAAAATAATGAATTTTATTTCTCTTTCATGATTATATGAACAGCAGCCTTTCCATCTTTAGAAATAGCTGATTTTTCCTAGCTGGTAGGTTAATTGTGGGTTGCTGACTTTACATATTTTAAAGCCCACATCCTTTTGGGGGTTTACAGATGAGGAAGAGCTAGAATTAACTTGTAAGATTGTGGTTTCATATTGCCAAAATGAAAGGTTGGTTCAAATAATCTTCCAGTAGAAAAGTAAGGCAAATCATTTCCTCAGTATCTTTTGAAATGATGTTATAACGAGGCATTCCTGGTTCAGTGGAGCCTTCCCATTGCTTCTGAATAAACACTGTGGAAATAAAAACAGTGATTTGTTAGTTTGTTAAAAGGAAATTTAGTTTTGATGGTAAAGGCTATCCTATTGACCTCAAAAATTATGTCTTTTTCTTTTTTTTTTTTTACTCACTGGCTCTTGGTAGATCTTTAACTTAACAAAAATGCAATCTCTTTGGAAAAAAAGATCATTTTTCGCCAGAAAAATGCAAATGTTGAAGTAAGTTAAAAAGTCTTCACATAAGTGTTGAAGATTTATAAAACACATTGAAATGAAGGTTGGAATTTCCTAAGAGCACAGTTTCCATTTTGGTGATGTAAAAGCATGGCAGACGCATTAGTATGTGGGCAAAACTGAACTTTTGTACTTGCCTTCATTCAACATGTACTTCCTGTGTGCCTACCATGTTTCATGGGTTCTAGACAACAAGGCAGAGCAGAGCCTAGGCACTGGGAGATGATGGTTAAGGTGAAACACCATGGTCGTGACCTTCTGGATTAATTCTCTCTGGTGCTTGTAAATCTAACTGGTCATTTTCTTCAGAAACCAGAGAAGATTTTGATTAATTGACCTGACAGTGCATGGCACATCATATTTACTTGGGAGAATTGAATAACCCTAGAGACTCCCAAAGGAAACATGAAAATTTCCACGTACTATTATTCTAATGGGATCACAGTCAGAGAATGTGCAAGCAAAATTTTTAGGGCTTTCTCAGGCAGAGCAAGTCAACGTTCACTCTAAACTCTGGCTTTTCACCTGAGAGATCAGGGCAACAGAAACCGGAAGCTTGAAAGGAAAACCTTTTGTGGAACTGTTTCATTCATAGAGCAATAAGTAGTTCGTTTCCTTGGAAGAATATTGCTTATAATTCAGAAATACGTATGTGAGACTGACTCTTTTTTGTAAGTATGTCAGGGAGTGTTCGATGTGGGAGAGGATTTTGAGAAGCAGAAGTGCTCACGTAACAAGTTCCGTAGGTGTGCGCTCAAAGTAGTGTCCAGGGGCAGTAGAATCAGCACACGTGTTAGAAATACAAATCAGTGCAGTTTCTTCAGCTAAGCCCCAGGACTACTGAATCAAACCACGAAGGGGCAGCAATTGATGCTTTACCAAGTGCTGTGGACGAGTCTGCTACTTTGGAAGTGTAAGCACTACTCTGCAACTGTGCACAAAGGATTGCTCATTTTGTTCACTTCACACACACACGCACACACACGCACGGTTGTCTTAACAAGTTGTCTTAGGTGTGTAATATTTTACCACACGTTAACAGTTCTTCAAAATAATGTCGCAGATAAGGGTGGGCATTTGGCACAATGGGTAAGACACTTGTTACTCCACGAGCGAGCCTCTGGGTTTCTTTCCTAGCTCTGTCTCCAGGTCCCAGCTTCCTGGTAATGCAGACTCTGGAACAGTGCAGGTGATGGTTCTGGTGATTGAGTCCCTGCCATTCACATGGAAAATGTGAACAGAGTTTCCAGCTTCTGGCTTCCATCTGGCCCCATCCTGGCGTTTGTGGACATTTGGGGACTGGACCCTCTTTGTCTCTCTTGCTCTTTCCCCCTGCTTTTCAAATTAAAAAAAATAATTAAATTCTCCTAGTGAAAGGAAGTCTATTTTACTTTCTTTAATGCTAAAATATCCCAAAGTAAAATTTCCATGAAGTGAGCCTATTTATATTAGATTAAATGACATTTGAAAAGCTAAGCACAACACTGAACACACAGTAGGTGCATTCATTATATATTATTATGGATTTATTTTATTCTTATGCACACGTTTATTGTCAGGTATATTTTATATTTGTTTATTTGTTTATTTAGAAAGGCAGAGTTACAGAGAGAGGAATGAGTGGGTGAGTGAGGGATGCAGAAAGAGAGACATGTTCTGTTCACTGATCCATTCTTCAAAGGTCACCATGGCCAGAGCTGAGCTAGGCTGAAGCCACGAGTTTGTACTTCTCCAGTTCAGGGGCTAAGCAAGTGGGCCATTGTCTACTGCTTTCCTAGGTATACTGACAGGAAGCTGGGTTGGAAATGAAATAGTCAGGATTCAAACTGATGCTCATATAACAATCTGCCATCAGCTGAGGCGGCTTAACCCATTGCACTAACCAAATATTTTCTTCATTAATGCGAAAGATTGAACAGATTCATATTTTCTTTATTATTTATATTACCAGTATACTCTATTGTATCTGTTTTAGATTTAATGGAAATAAATATAAAGGTATTAAATACAGGAAAACCAAGTAATTTTTATAGGGTGGTTTTTATATGTACTGTTTTGTTAGTTTATGATTTAATTGAGGTAGAATAGAATTTTAGATATCTATAGATCAGAGTTAAGTCTGAACTTAAGATGAAATAAAATTAGAAGCACAGTACCTACTGCATTGCTTCTAGTACCACCTACATTTCTCCCCAGGTCCTATCCAACCATAAGGTGCACATGAATTACCCTGTCATTGACATTAATCGTGTAAGATTTCCAGCTCTCCTTCCCTGTTGTTGATAGCCGATCTCATTCACTTCTCCAGAGGATTCCCCAGGGATCTGGGGGAGTTTTAGCAGCCTGTGTGGATATTCCTCCACTGTTAGTGCTAGTACTCTGTCCCTCTGTCCTGGAGCCCTTGTATGTAGCATCCTCATGTCACTGCACCCTCCTTAGACCAACAAGTACTCTATTACTGGCCCAACTCCCTTGGCTGTGCAGACTCCAATGGGTTCCTGGTGGCAACAATGGGAAGGCCTGCTGCATTCCCTTTTCCCTCGCATTCTGTTCTGGAAGTGTTACTACCTGAGGCCTAGGCTTTGCAAGCATGTTTTTCCCTGTAAGGACTCAGAGATCTTACTGCAGCACAGTGTTGCATCATTAGCAATTTTGGTCTCATTCCCCAGCTCACCCTTCTGTTTTCTAGGTCTCCTTCATATTGCACTTTGATGACCTAGGCCTCATGTGACATTGTGTAAATGGAGGTTTTGCTGGGGGCGAGGGGCACAGCAGGGCCAGCTTCAGGGGCATTTGTTTCCTGCTGCCCACCAAGGCTCCATGTTGGAAAGAGGTCAGGCCTGAATCAGTGTTCTGTTGCTGTTGTCTTGAAATTCCTAAGGCCCATACAAATATTTATTTATTTCTTTATTTGAAAGGCAGAATTAGAGAGAGGGAGAGACAGACAGAGCTCTTCCATTTGCTTGTTCACTCTGCTGCAATACTTGGAGCTAAGGTGATCTGAATCTAGAAGCTAGGAGCTTCTGGATATCCCGTATGGGAACAGGAATTTAAGCACGTGGTTTATCTTCCACTGCTTTCCTAGCCACTTTAGCCAGGAGTTGGATCAAAAGTAAAGCAGAACTGGTGCCCATAGGAGAACAGGTGCCCATAGGAGATGCTGACACTGCAGGTGGTAGCTTTACTTGCTGTGCCAAAATGCTTCCCCTCCTTCCAACCCGCCCCTCTTTTCTTTGCACTTGTTTCCACAAACAAGTAGGCTGTTCTAAACTGCGGTCCATCCACTTATTGTAAATCCTGAATTTGTGGTTGAGTTTAGAGATCGACTCTGCCTATTTATTGTTGTCTTGGTTCTTGAGAAGTATACTAGTAACACATGTATTCCTTAAAGCATCTCCCAATATCTGGTAAATAAGCTTAAATCTAAAAATGAATATTCTATTAGGAGGATTAGACTCTACACATATATAGGAACCCTGCAATAGGTTACTGCTAATTGGCTCTTAAAATTTGAATTCAGTTTTGAAATATATATAAAAATATTTTAATATGTTGACAGATTTCCCAGTGTTAAGGCTGAGGAAAATCTATCAGGAACCAAGTTAGATGTGATTCATTCATTAGAAATGAGTGGAGAACCCATTTAAGAGCTTAGTATAGGACCATAAAAATGGAATAAATCCTGTCCTGATTTTCCAAGGTTTCATAATTGATCTAGAATGACAGATTCCTGGATTGATTAATTCCTCCTGAGGAGTGGGGAGGAATATAGGATAGGGGAAGAGATTAAAGCTCATTTGATTGTGAAGTGCTGCATGGAGGGGTTTGGGGTTCCCAGGAAGACACTGGAAATACACGTTAGCCTGGAATTGGAACCATGATGGCTTGGTCAGCATTGTTGGTTGACACACATTTTCCCCCCTTTTCTCTGCTTTTAGCCTCAGCACCCCAGTCGGATGAAGGCTCTGACATTGACTCAGAACCAGATCTACCGCTCAAGAGGAAACAGCGCAGGAGCCGAACCACCTTCACCGCAGAACAGCTCGAAGAACTGGAGCGAGCTTTCGAGAGAACGCACTACCCCGATATCTATACCAGGGAGGAGTTGGCTCAAAGGGCAAAGCTTACTGAGGCCCGAGTGCAGGTACTGCTATCCAGACACACACATCCGGTTTAAATTCAGATAAGAAGCAAAAATATGTTTTTTCATCTAAAATATACTTGAAGCCAAGGAAACCAATGCATGAAGAATGACACTGCATGCGGGTGCATATCTTTAGAGTTCAGTAACTATTAATAAGAGAATGTGGTTGTATCACCTTAAGACTCTCAGAAATATGATATTTTGTGTTACTCATCATGTTAGAATGCTTATTGTGCAATAGGTACTACATGCATGGACCTTCAGATAATAGCTATCACAGTTTGAGTAGTTACTTTGTGTAAGACATTCTAAGTATGCTACATGAATGAATCCATTTAATCATGATTAAAACCTTAGGTTGGATTTATTACCAATCATAATCTGTAGACAAACACATGGTAACTTCCCAAGGTCATAAGGCTGTAAAGTTATTGCACAGGTCCCATATACTTCGTCCCCACGATGTTCCCTTTAGGTAAATGTACACAGATACATAATATGAAGTTTCTTGTTTCAAGGATTTAAATTATTGAAGTAGTTTTAGTTCTTACACTTTTGGAGAGATGGCTTCCTTTAACCATCCTTTAAGCTCTGAGAAGTGTTCTGGACCATTTGGAAAAGGCTGCTTAAATGGAACAGGTTCCTGTTGAATGTGTAATAATGCTTTCATCATGAATTATTACTTTCTCCTTAAGTTAGTAAAGCAGTGTTAGAAAGAGTACAAATGTCTTAGTGTATCTTGGAACTTCTTACTGCCCCAAAAGTTAAGTGACTTTATCTGGAAAAGTTGTGTGTTATTCCTGGATCCTTGACTTTTATAGTAAAAATCAGGCTAAGGGTGCAACAGGGAACAGTTGATATGGTCCCTACACCAACCAATGTTTTCACATACATGGAGCATTAACTGTCCTATTAAGGAAATTTACAGAAGCAGCCTCTTTCAGGCTGCAAAGCCTCGTCAGAGGGTTTGTTAAGTCAACTTTCCATATAAGCATGACAGTGCTAGAAAAGTGGGGACAAACTAAGATGAATTAAGAAAATTTTCGAAAAAAATTCAAATAGGGTTAATAAAGTAAAATACATATAACTTTAAAACAGAGCAGATGTGTTACATGTTGAGAGAAAAAGGGCAATTTGAGTTGAATAGAAGACAGGATGAGCTACTGGAGAAGATTTGATGTTCATGAGGTGGGACAGATCTGCGACCGGCTTTCTTGGCTCAGTGGACATCCATTGGACTGGCAGATGGGGGATCATAGATTAGTAATAGAGAATTATTTTGGAGTAAGGTACAGATTTGGAAGTGCATGGGTTTCCTTTTATTTTTACTCTATTCAGGTAAATAGAACAATAATTTGTCCAGTTTGATTAGGATCCTAGAAGTGGTAAGGTGGTGGAAGGAATGGGATTTGGTAGCTAGAATGAGGACATCCTGTGGAAATATTGCATTCAGGCTCAAGAAATCAGACTTGGTATGTCAGGAAATGGAGGCTATGGCATGGGATAGGTAGTGGCAGTGGAAATGCCTAAAAACAGATAGTGGTGAAAAGTACTCCAAGGTAGAATAAAGACAATTAACTGAGCAAGTTGGAGGTGGGTGGAAGGCTGAGAGAAGACTGTTAGGTGCACCAATAGTCTTAGGATTGGTGGTTTAACTCATTTCATTGAGATGGAGCGTATCCGCCCCACTGCACAGTACAGAGACGATCTCATTTGTCACATAGGTGGAAGTCATTTCTGTGTTGTGTAAGGTGGAGTACACCCTGTACCCAATGAACAGCTAGTAAAATTCAACATTACTGAGAATTTTATCAAATTTGTCTGTCAAACTTACTTTGTTTTCATTACAGATCTGTGATTAATTGGTTTAAATGTGGATCAAAGCCCAAATCATTCCTTTGTTGAGTGCTTAGCATACTCTTGGATTGGTCCCCACAGTGTGTGGTTGGCCAGGTCCCCATATTGGCATTGTTCTTAAGACAGATCAAATATCAACCCTGAACTCAATATGAATAAAAAAAATTAAACATTTGTTTAAAGAGATCAGACAAAAGTGGGGGGGATGAAAACACTGATCAGAGATTTCTGGTCTGTTCTCTCTCTCTTGTTTCTGCTCTGTCAAAAAAGGACAAGGGCAGAGTAAGTTCTTAACTCAAGTAGCATGCCCAGCATTCAAAGATAATAATAATGGTCCATTAACTTTCAGAGGACATGGGATCAAACCAATAAAGAGTGGTTCATATTTTTCTATGCAGTGACCTCCTCTCCCAAACAGGACCCTCATTAACGTAACAGCTGTCTTAATGTGGCTTTAACCCGGTGACTCTTTACATTCCTCATGGCTTCCTTAGTTCCCTTGAGACACATTATGTCTTGCTCCACAGCTATGATCTACAGCCTAACAAATTCTCTAGAACACCCAGCATATGGATCTTTAGTTAACCCAGCAGGGAAAAAAAGGGAGTAGTTAATCACCGATTAAAATGCCAGAAGAAAATACTTAGTTTTAGGAGGATCTGGGAAAGCAGTAACAGAGTTAACCTAGTTTGAGTTGACAGTGAGAAAGTGTGAGCTAGCTTACTTCGGGGCACCTGGGAAAGCCAAACACTGAACTCCCCCAAATCCCATGTTTATGTTCCCTTGTTTCCCAAGGAAAAAAATATTTCTAGGCTTTTCTGGATAGAGATTGGACTAAAGCTATAACTCAGGTGTTTGTTAGCATTTCCAAAAATTCATTTGGGCAGTGGTGATATTGTGTTTATCATGGCCAAATCTCAGTACACTAACAACTGTTGTACACTAAATATTATGTACCTGATAATAACAGTACAAGTTTAAAAAAGAAAAGACCTCTTTCTGAATTCATTGGGATAGCTATACAATGGTAAATATTTGTGTTTTTTTATTGTTATTTTTAAAAGTTGTATTTGTTTTTGTTTGAAAGTCAGTTACAGAGAGAGAAGGAGAGACAGAGAACTCTTTCGTCCATTCCCCAAATGACCACATAGGCAGGAGCTGAGCCAGTTGGAAGCCAGGAACCTGGAGCTTCTTCTGGGTCTCCCACATACTTGTAGGTGCCCAAGGTCTTGAGGCATCCCCTGCTACCTTCCCAGGTGTGAGCAGGAAGCTGGATCAGAAAAGAAGCCACAGGGGACTCTAATCAGTACCCACACGGGATGCTCATGCTGCAGGCAGAAGGTTAGCCTGATACACCAGGGTGCTAGTCCCACAATTTAAGTTTTGGGTGAAAGAATTATTGCAAATGCAGTGCACAAACATTTTTGTAAATATTCCACTTAAGAATTCTGCTAAGTAGGCAGGTATCATTCTAGTTTACCACCAAGATCATGGAAACTACTTGTGGAAATAACATTTAACTGGGAGTCAAATGATGTGTAGTGTGCCCTTAAGCCTGTTGGGCATTGTTTTAAAATTCATTTATTTGAAAGGCTGGGTTACAGAGAAATATATAGAGAGAAACAGAGATCTCCCACCTGCTGTTTCATTCCCCAAATGAAAGCAATGGCAGAGCTGAGCTGGTCCGAGATCAGTAGCTAGTAACTTTTTCCAGATCTCTCACTTGGGTTAGGTGCTCAGATGATTGAGCCATTTTTTCACCACTTTTTCAGGCAGGGAACTGGTATGAAATAGAGCAGCTGGGACTGAAACTGACATGCATATGGGATGCTGGCATTCCAAATGAAAACTTTACCCACCATACCACAGGCTTACCTCTGGCCTTAAAAAAAAGTTACGTTACAGTATGGGATAGGTTAGATCGGATTACCTCCGTCTGGGTCCACATATATTCAGGATAATTTGGGGGTCCAGGAGGCCCAATATTTGTCCACAATGCTTTATTCCCCTCTCTCTCTCTGTGTACACAGTATTAACTAGGGAAGGACCATTTGTTTTGCTTCAAGTTCTCAAACACCATGTTTTCCTCACAACCCCGTGGAAATCTACTCGATACATGTTTTCTCACAATCTTTATATTATCAGTAATGGGAGATATTCAGAAAAGCCCAATGGTGACATCAAGCAACCTGACGGATTTGTGTAGTTCAGAAGTAAAAATAGTTATGTACTCATCAGTAGAACGCAATGTGGCCAACCTTTAGCTCTCTACAAAGGTTACTCTTTGGATGTCTCAAAAGGCGGTTGAGTTCGATTTAGTGTATCAGCGGTCCTTTGATCATCTGCAAGCCGGTTGACATGCATGAGAAAACAGCAGATCTTCTCGTCCACTTTGTTTATCTCCGCTTCCACCTGCTCTTCATACAGTGGCCAAAACTGGATAGCAACAATGGTAGGAGGGCTGTGGAAACCATGACACGGAAAGGGAAAAGACACTGGGATAAATGAGAGAATGTCCAAGGAATAAGCAGCCTGTCCTACATATGCCTATCTGGAAAAGACTGTATGTGGCATGGTATTTTTTTTTCTTTTAGATTTATTTTGTTTTTTTATTGTAAAGTGTCATATACAGAGAGGAGAGACAGAGAGGAAGATCTTCCTTGTGTTGATTTTCTCCTCACATGGTTGCAATGGCTAGAGCTGAGCTGATCTGAAGCCAGGAGTCAGGAGCTTCTTCCAGGACTCTTACGTGGGTGTAGGGTGCTAAGGCTCTGGGCCATCCTTGACTGCTTTCCCAGGTCGCAAACAGGGTGCTGGATGGGAAGCAGGGCCACCAGGATTAGAACTGGCACCCATGTGAGATCCTGGTGTGTGTAAGGCAAGGACTTAAGCTGTTAGGCTACCACTCTGGGTCTGTGGCATGGTATTACTACAGTCAAATGTTTAATCAAGCATCTTATAATCTTGCGAGTTTTCTCTATAAAGATTCAGTGGTACACTCTCTCCTCATTATTAAATTGTGTTATTTGAAAGAACCCATCTGGCACAACATAGGTTAGGTTACTTTTGAGGATAGTAGTAATATGTGAGCCAATAATTTTGCAAATTTTAAATTTATTCCTTTTCCTTTTATTTGGGAGAGG